TCCCTTCTCATTGGGTGGCCAAAGTATTTGAGCTTCAACTTCAGTATCTGGCCTTCCGGGGAACAGTCAGGGTTGATTTCTTTTAGGACTGACTGATTTGATCTCCTTGCATTCCAGGGGACTCTCAACAGTCTTCTCCAGCACCATAGTTCAACTCTTATATGGAGCCCTAATTTGGTTTTATTCTGTTGATCACATCCAAAGTACATTTCTGTGTGCTCTTTCTGGAGTGACTAGGTGCATAGCTTCTACAGCATTGTGACTAGAGGTGGGTATGAAGCACATTTCAGCCTTAGTTTGGTCTGCAGCAATTAAGTTGCAGTTATCCAACTCCTTTTCAACTATGGTCAACTGACTTCAATCTGACTCCTCTTCCAGTTCTTGCAGCCAGGGGACACACAAGAAAACTACCTATTTGGGTTTCTCAGTAGCTTATTTATCATTACAGGGTTTAAATAAAGCCTGTACAGTAAGTGACAGGAAAGCTGGTAGAACTGGGCTGTCAACTGTTGTAGCTGGCATTAAGCAGTCTACTCACCTATCTATCTAGGTTCTGTGCCTTCATTCCCCTTTTCTTACAATAAATATTTATCCTATCTCACAGTCCCTACTTATCATAGGCTGTTCTTCTCAGCCTATTTTAATGTGCTCCCTTTAGTGGAACTAACTTGTAGATACAGGGGAATCCGCTGACAGCAGAAGTTCTGCCACTGTAGAGCTCAGGTTGTAGAACCCAATCCACGTGTGGGGGGGGGGGAGAGAAGAAGAAGAGGAGGAGGAGGAGGAGGAGGAGATTGGATCTATACCCCACCCTTCACTACCCAAGGAAGTCTCAGAGCGGCTTACAAACTCCTTTCCCTTCCCCTCCCCACAACAGACACCCTGTGAGGTAGGTGGGGCTGAGAGAGCTCTGACAGAAACTGCTCTATTTCAAGAACAGCTCTGACAGAACTATGCCTTGCCCAAGGTCATCCAGCAGCTGCAAGTGGAGGAGTGGGGAATCAAACCCGGTTCTCCCAGATTAGAGTCCACGCACTTAACCATTACACCAAACTGGCTTTCAGATGGGCACGAACCAGCTCACACACTAAAGCTCATCGTGAATTTTGGACAGTTCGTGGTTCGCAAACTAATTCACAAACTGAAAAGCTGCCATGAACTTCCATGAATTTTAAGGCAGTTTGTGGGAGTTTGTGAAGAACAGAAAGCAGGGATTTAAATGGCTCTATTTAATCCCCTGCTTTCTGCTCTTCATGAAAAACTGCTAAGCGGTGAGGAGCAGAAAGGGGTTTCAATGGCTCCAAGCCATTTAAACGCTTTCTTTCTGCTCTCCGCCATTCAGCTGTTTGGTTTAAATGGCTCAGAGCCATTTCAACTGCTGCTTTCTGCTCACCACTGCCTTTGCCATGGAACAGAAAGCAGAGGGTTTAAATGACTCGAAGCCATTTAAACCCCTTTCTGCTCCCTGCAAAAAGCAGCAGGGAGCAGAAAGCAGGGTCACAACGTATTGGTTTGTGGTTCAACCACAAACCAAACCACAAAAAGTGCTTTCTGCCCATCCCTAGTAGTGGTTATTTAGAAGTATTTGTGACACTGGGATAATAACCCATGTGTGACTTTTTAAAAGCCACCTTGAGAGATGGTAGCTCGGCTATGGAGCATTATTTTTTAAATTTTCTGTGCGTTGATACATCTTGCCATGCATAAACAATAACGTATTAGGAGACGGCAGCCAGCTTTGATCTATCTGAACTTGCTTATCTTTTCTCCTTGTGCATTGTAATGATCCAGTTTAAATTGAGTCTTGAACAAATCCTATGTAGCCTCAAGGCTTCTGCCCACACCTTGGTGCATCATATGTTCTGTGCTTGTATCCCCTTTGTGTTCAGTACTTTCTTCTTTCATGCAAGAGAGCCAGTGTGGCTTTGTGGTTAAGAGCAGCAGACTCTAAACTGGAGAATCGGGTTTGATTTTCCACTCCTCCTCCACATGAAGCCTGCTGGTTGACCTTTGGCCAGTCTCTCAGAACTCTCAGCCCCACCTACCTATTCTGGGAAGAGGAAGGGAAGGCAATAGTAAGCCGCCTTGAGGCTCCTCAAAAAGTAGAGAAAAGCAGGATATAAATACCTACTCTTATTAATTAATTAATTAATTTCTACCCTGCCCTCCCCACCAAAGTGGGCTCAGGGCGGCTTCTATAGGATATTGCACAACTAATCCTAACAATATACAGTATAACAATAACAAATCCTTCGAATTCTTATCGCAGACGTATTGATATTTTATTTTATTTTAAAATTTAATGGTATCATCTTTTTATTATGAGAACCTTCTAATTTCTGAATTGTGTTTGTATGCAGACTATATTTTGCTAAACATCTGTATTGGGTGACCAGCCTGACAAAGTCTAATGTTCTGTTGAGCTTTTATGGACTATATTATTGAAAATATACTGAGAATTTTAGTTATTCCCGGAATTTTGAGAATATTTTTGAACCCTTCAGATAGTCACAAGCCAACCCAAAACAGGTAATTTCGGGTTTATTTTCAGCTGGGATATATGTGAATGTACAGGTCTGCTCTCAACCCTGTCGGCAAAATCTCTGTCCTTTGCTACGGCAGTATCTTCTTCTCTTACCTGTTGTTTGCACCCCAGCCACATTTACTGCCAACAAATTTATTCAGTTTTCATAAGAACATCAGAAGAGTCCTGCTGGATCAGACCAATGGTCCATCTAGTCCAGCATCCTGTCTCATACACTGGCCAATCCTTTCAAGGGCTAACAACAGGGCAGAGAGGCCGAGGCCTTCAGAAGAACATCAGAAGAACCCTGCTGGATCAGACCAGAGGTCCCTCTAGTCCAGCATCCTGTCTCACACAGTGGCCAACCAGTTCCTCTCAAGGGCCAACAACAGGGCAGAGAGGCCGAGGCCTTCAGAAGAACATCAGAAGAACCCTGCTGGATCAGACCAGGGGTCCATCTAGTCCAGCATCCTGTCTCACACAGTGGCCAACCAGTTCCTCTCGAGGGCCAACAACAGGGCAGAGAGGACGAAGCCTTCATAAGAACATCAGAAGAACCCTGCTGGATCAGACCAGTGGTCCATCTAGTCCAGCATCCTGTCTCACACAGTGGCCAACCCTCTTCATCCGTACAGACACATCTAATGTAACTCACTGGGAAACTTAATGTTCTGGTTCAGCTATGCCAGGTACACTAGGAGGAGGAGAGGAGGAGGAGGAGGAGGAGATTGGATTTATACCCTGCCCTTCACTCGGAGTCTCATAGCGGCTTACAAACTCCTTTCCCTTCCCCTCCCCACAACAGACACCCTGTGAGGTAAGTGGGACTGAGAGAGCTCTGAGAGAACTGCCCTTGAGAGAACAGCTCTGACAGAACTATGGCTTGCCCAAGGTCATCCAGCAGCTGCGAGTGGAGAAGTGGGGAATCAAACCCGGTTCTCCTAGATTAGAGTCCGCACATTTAACCACGACATCAAACTGGCTTTCTTTAAGGAAAAGACTGGGCAAAACATTGTCACAGCTCTATATGAACAACTTTGTAGAGAGGCCAAATGCCACGTACCTGCTGGAAATTCCAGTTTGTCAATATGCAGCAAGTTACTGCGGAAGGATGACGACACGGAGAGAGATACATTGCCAGATTGCATGCCTTGTTTCACAAGCACTCCTTACATTCCTCCCCCCACAAAATTTAGATTACAAGCTTCACAGGTCCCTTACGTTACTCTGCAGAGCCCCGCCCTGCTTCTTATTCTGCAGCTTTATGGTGTTATTCCACCGTACTAAAACTTCCTACTGAAGCAGCTTAACTCCCATTCACATATTATCCCCAGGGGGGTGAGATATGACCACAATGTGAGTTTCCCCGACCCTGTCAGAGCACTAGAGCTATAAAGTAGAGGCAGAAAAATTCACAGCACGATGATGGGCATCATAACAAAAGGGTAAAGTGCTCCTAAGCATTATTTTATTTTATTTATATCCCGCCCTCCCCGCAAACATGCTCAGGCCGGCTCACAGTTTCGGGCACCATGTGCCAAATATAAAAACATATAAAAACACATAAACGAAATAAAACAACCGTATTTTGCAATTAAAGTGCTCAGTGGTGTTAGTCCTTCAATCAAATTTAGACGGCACATTGTAGATGTAATACAAAGTCCCGGTTCAGCGGTAATCGATCTGTCGCGATGCTGTGGCTCGATCCTCATAGGGCCGGCCCACTACCCCGTTGTTACTAACGATAATAGTTGGTGGCAGGGCTTTTTTTGTATAAAAAGCCCAGCAGGAACTCATTAGCATAATAGGCCACACCCAACAGAAGAGATTCATTAGACCCCTGACAGCACAGCTCATTAGCATATTAGGCCACACATCCCATGTTACCAGAAGTGTGGTCATCCAGACACACCCACCTTTTGCTTCTTATTCTGTTTACCTTGTTTGTTGTCAAAACCCAGGGCCTTTTTCTAGCAAAACTTCCTTTGCATGTTAGGCCACACACCCCTAACATAGCCTAACATAGCCACTCCTAATGCGTTTCTGCTGTTGGGTGTGGCCTATTATGCTAATGAGTTCCTGCTGGGTGTGGCCAACTCGGGAGCCAGCCGGAACTCCGTTCCTGTGCGTTCCTGCCCCAAAATAGCCCTGGTTGGTGGTAGTGGTAGTGGCGGCTCCTAATTAAAAGCCTGGCGGAAGAGCTCCGTCTTACAGGCCCTGCGGAACTTATGAGGGGAAGAGGGGGAAATTTGCCATGGGGATGCCATTTTGGGTTGCACCCCGTAACCAATACAGTATGCACCTGGTTGCCTGATCGGTTCTGCTACCGAAACCATCATGTTCCCGCTCGACGTTGCACACAGCTTCAGCCATCTGCCCAAGATGGAAGCCACGTCCCAGAATTCCAAAGCCTGGGCTTGAAAAGCAAGACCCCCCCCCCCTCGGGAGTCCGTTTATACTTGTTCGAGCCTCTTACCTGCAAGACATCCTGGATCTTCACCCACACGTCTGCCATGTCGTATAGCTTGATGTCGCCATCAGACTGACTGGAGGGAGAAGCCACGGTCTGCTGAAGATGCCCCAGGACAACAGCATGTGCAGCGGCAACCGCGTTGAATTTGTCAAAGAGAAGTTCCAGCAATTCCAGGAGCAACCTACAAATCATTATGGAAAGAGAGAGAGAGGGAATCAACCGCCATCCCTTAATTCTGTATGCATTTCAAGGTTGGTAGGTTAATAGAGTGGTATTACAATAGTCCCACAAGTAGATAACCTGGAAAGCAAGCAAACAATCAAGACCGCAAATTAACTCCAAGCAGAACATTATGACTGGTTTACCAGCCTTCTCAAATCTTTATCCCCAAAAGGTTACAACTAAGAAGAAATGGATAGCACAACCTGCAAAAATGGAAAGACTAAAGATACAAACTGGAAGATCGTGAGGTTGCAGCTCTGATTTCTGCAGCATGATTGACATGGCTGTAAATGCACAAACGGCACAGCAGACTTAGAGGTGGGGAAATTGAGTATATCCCAGCTGATCCCAGGTCTGCTTCATTGACTATGCTAAAGCTTTTGACTGTGTGGATCACAACAAACTATGGCAGGTCCTTAAAGAGATGGGAGTACCAGACCACCTCACATGTCTCTTGAGAAACCTGTATAAGGGCCAAGAAGCGACAGTTAGAACCGGATATGGAACAACTGATTGGTTCAGCATAGGAAAAGGAGTACGACAAGGATGTATATTGTCACCTTGCTTATTTAATATATATGCAGAGTACATCATGCGATATGCTGGCCTGGATGAATCACAAGCGGGAATTAAGATTGCTGGGGAAAAGATCAACAACCTCAGATATGCAGATGATACCACTCTAATGGCTGAAAGTGAAGAGGACCTAAAGAGCCTCTTGCTCAGAGTAAAAGAGGAGAGCGCAAAAGTGGGCTTGAAGCTCAACATCAAAAAAACTAAGATCATGGCATCCGGCCCCATCACTCCTTGGCAAATAGAAGGGGAAGTCGTGGAAGTAGTGACAGACTTCACGTTCCTGGGATCCCAGATCACCGCAGACTGTGACTGCAGCCATGAAATTAAAAGACGCCTGCTCCTTGGGAGGAAAGCGATGGCGAACCTAAACAGCATGATAAAAAGTAGAGACATCACCCTGCCAACAAAAGTCCGCATGGTCAAAGCAATGGTATTCCCAGTAGTCATGTATGGCTGCGAGAGCTGGACTATAAGGAAGGCCGAGCGCCGAAGAATAGATTCTTTTGAACTATGGTGCTGGAGAAGACTCTTGAGAGTCCCTTGGACTGCAAGAAGAACAAATCAGTCAATCCTCAAAGAAATCAACCCTGACTGTTCCCTGGAAGGCCAGATAATGAAACTGAAGCTCAAATACTTTGGCCACCAAATGAGAAGGGAGCACTCACTGGAGAAGACCCTGATGCTGGGAAAGATTGAAGGTCAAAGAAGACGGGGACGGCAAAGGATGAGATGGTTAGACAGTGTCATCGATGCAACGAACATGAAATTGAGCCAACTTCAGAGGACGGCGGAAGACAGGAGGGCCTGGCGGGAGCTGGTCCATGGGGTCACGAAGAGTCGGACTCGACTGTGCGACTGAACAACAATATAGGCTCTCGAGAGGCAAAGCTCCCTTAGTATCTTTGATTCTCGAACGTTTATACCCTGGAAGCATTGTTGGGTCTCTTAAGGTGTTACTGGACTTGAATCTAGCTCTTTGACTGCAGACCGACACAGTTATCCTCCGAAACTGTCCTAGCTGAGCTGGCTGTGGGGGATTCCCACTGCAGAGGCAATGTTGCAAACCTGCAGGCTGAGAGGCTCTTTCATCATGTCCTGACATAGACAGCTTTAAAAGTGGACAGGATAGATTCACAGAAGAAAGGCCTATCAGTGGCTACAAGCCATGGTGACTGAAGGGAACCTCCACGTTCAGAGAAAGTCAACCTCTGAATCCCAGTGGCAGGAGGCAACATCAGGGAAAGGCCTCGACCTCCATGCTCTGTCACTGGCCCTCCAGAAGAACTAGCTGTGTGAGACAGGATGCTGGACTAGATGGGCCACCAGTCTGATCCAGCTGAGTTCTTCTCATGGATTCCATGCAGAACTCCATGCATCAAAGATGGTAATATCTCTGACCACTGAACTGCTGTCTTGTGGGGGTGTGGACAGGAAAGAAGAAACATCCCATGTTATCATACCTCCTGTTTTCTCCTCGCTGAAAAAGCGCTCTTTGGAGGCTGCCTGGTAGGCATCATTTTCCTTTTTGGAACACAGTCCATGCGTGCTGTGGAGATCTGTGGCGATCGCCTGGAACACCTCACGGCCAACCTGGTTACCACACTGCCCAAGTTGTATTGTGATGATTGACATGCTTGCCTTAATCTTGTTTTAGCTTCGTTCCTAAACAAGAAGAATTAGGTTGCTTGTGATTGGGTCTCATTGAATTCAAATAGGCTTACAAATTATTACTTCCTATTTTTTATCCTTGCCTTCCTGTCTACAAGGACCTTTCCGATTACTAACTTCTGTACAGTTTCTGTCCATGCAGTATTGACCTAATAGAATAAATAATTTAGTAAATATCATTACACTCTTCTGAAGTTCTTCTATTCTTATGGTATCTGTCCTTCTCTCTCCTTTAAAAAAACAAAACTAAGCATTCAGCCTGAGGAAGAGCTCTGGTAAGTTCAAAGGCTCTCTCTATACCGTGACATTTCAGTTGTTCCTAAGAAAAAGTACATTATACAAGCATGGTTAGTTTCATAAGAACATAAGAGAAGCCAACGTTGGATCAGGCCAATGTCCCATCCAGTCCAACACTCTGTCACAGGGTGGCCAAAATACCAGGTGCCAGGTTGGTCCTAATGGACCAATGCACTACCTGCTGTTTTGGTACAAGAGATTCTCGTGGGAGCTTATGCTGAAGCAAACCTCTGGGCGTCTAGCAGAAAAAGGGACTTGAAAGCACCAGAGATGTTGACATGCAGCAAATCCAAGCCATGGCTATACAGGACAGGGTCTGGCCAACTTAGAACCTGACTGTCAGATCCAGCCTCAACCCCAAACCAATAGTAACAAGTCTCCTGGTTGAGTTTAATCATGATGTGGCTACAAGCTTGCCCATGCTTGCACTCACAAGGAACAGAAGAACAGAAGAGAAGCCATGTTGGATCAGGCCAATGGCCCATCCAGTTCAACACTCAGTGTCCAAAACCCAGGTGCCATCAGGAGGTCCACCAGTGGGGCCCAGAACTCCAGAAGCCCTCCCACTGTTGCCTCCCTCAAGCACCAACCAAGAAGACAGAGCATCACTGCCCCAGACATAAGAACATAAGAGAACCATCTTGGATCAGGCCAATGGCCCATCCAGTCCAACACCCTGTGTCACACAGTGGCTAAAACCCATGTGGCATTATGAGGTCCACCAGCTGGGCCAGAACTCCAGAAGTCCTCCCACTGTTGCCCCCCAAGCAATGTTCCCTCTAAGCTGTGGAGTCTTGTGAGCAAAAATTGTACTTTGTGAGCTACTGGCATGAAAGTTGTGAGCGAGTGATTTGGCTGCTGCATAAATCAGTTTGCTCTGGAGCCATCCCTCCTGAGCGAAGACAAAAATCTGTGAGCCCTCCTGAAGAACCTCCCACTGTTGCCCCCCAAGTACAAAGAATACAGATCATCCCTGCCCCAGACAGAGTCTTCCATCCACACCTTGCAGCTAATAGCCATTGATGGACCTCTGCTCTGTATGTTGCAAAACTGAACTATGCAAGAAGGGTTTTCTGCACAGTTAATAGGGATGTACCCTACGAAACGGTTCCCAGACTGACTTGATCACACTTGATGCCACACACAACTCTTGTGAACATTATATCCTTATACTAATAGCCACGTTGCCCCCGTGAGTGCGGATATCTAAATCCGCGCTCCGGGGGCAGCTAGGGGGAAGGGAGAGGTTTGTGCACACGTGGGGCAGTCCCCACGTGTGCACAAAAATGCTAAATGTTGCACAAAATTTCGGGGGGATGTTTAAATCCCCCCGAAAGTGCCAGAGTGTTCCGTGCGCATGCGCACGGAACGCTCTACGAAGGCCGCCGCCGCTTGCGAAGG